GGAAGAGACCCCCAAGGGCCATCCAGTTCAACCCTCTCCTGCCATGCAGGAAGACAATCCCTGTGACAGATGGTCATCCAGCCTCTGTTTAGAAAGATCCGAAGAAGGAGATTCTACCACCCTCCAAGGCAGCCTAGTCTATTGTCGAACAGCTTTTATCCTCAGGAAGTTCTTCCTAACATTTAGGTGGAATCTCTTTTCCTATACCTTCCATCCATTGTTCCAGGTCCTATTCTCTGGAGCAGTAGAAAAGAAGCTTGCTCCATCCTCAATAGGACATCCCTTCCAATACTTAAACAGGCCCATCATATCACCTCTTAACCTTCTCTTCTCCAGGCTAAACATACCCAGCTCCCTCAGTCTTTCTTCTGAAGGCTTAATGGTTTCCAGAGTCTTCACCATTTTGGTGGCCCTCCTCTGGACACAGTTCCAGCTCATCTTTTTTTAATTGTGGTGCCCAGAGCTAGACACAGTATTCCAGGTGAGGCCTCACCAAAACAGAGTAGAATGGTACTATGACTTCTCTCGATCTAGGCTCCTGTTGATGCATCCTAGGATCATATTGGCTTTTTTTAGTTGTCGCAGGAACCCAGGACTTGGAATTGCTGTGGGATCTGCCTAGAGAGGGGATTTGTCATGGCTGTTTTTATACTTTTAGCACATCATCTCTCTTTTCCTGTCCTCTCAGCACTAAAGACATGTTCTGAACTTGGCACTGAAGGCCTGGAGGATACAGAACTGGGGGAGATGGGGGGAAATCCATGTAGAATATAAAAATTCTTCCCCCAAGTCATGCTCTGCATGCTGCTGGACCGAGAAGCCATGGGGATGTGGCTAAGAGAGACCCTTTTGCCTGCTTGCCTTGCATCTGCCCCCAGTGATGCAAGGCAGGCTGCCCCAGCCAGGCCCTGGACAGCAGCTGCTTGTCCATGGAGTGATGTGTTCAGCCTCAGGCTTCGTGGCACATGGGCATGGTCCCAAAAGCAGCCATGGATGAGAGGAGGCAGGCGAAGAGATAATAATAATAATAATAATAATAAGATGGTCTGTACTTGTCTGGCCTTCTTCTCGTGGGTGGGATTGTCCTATCCCAAACTTCCCATTTTGGCCCAGTGCTGTTCTACTTTCCAAATCTCACCTGGTGAGGCTGCTTCATGTGACCAGAAAAGGCAAGACAAGGCACAGGTGGGTCGGTAGACACCTCAGACATCTTTACCTCTGACAAGAGCAGAAGAAAAGCTAGATGCTGAAAATGGGAGCCGGCCCTGGGGTGGAAAGGATGGGAGATTTTGAGGTTTTACCCTGGTTTTGAGTCAGGCCCTTTAGAGTCCATCTCAAGTCTGACCAGGAGCGACCAGGGTGGATTTGCTTTCTCTTCCTGCTGGCCCCCATCCAAGGCCAAGCCCTGTTCTGCTCAAGATCTGAGCTCAGAAGAGAGGTTGGGTGTGGGATTGGGGGACAGAGGACACGATGGCCTTTACAGGAGATAGAAGTGGGCTGCATGGACTGTAAAGTCCTGTTGAGGATGTGGATCACATGGTCTCCGCCAGCAAAGAAGAGCTTCACTTAGGAGAAGAATGTCAGACGAACCCTGCCGGTGGATGGGACCAAGGAGGCTTCTGCTCACACGCTCTGGTCAACGAGAGGCCCCTGGGTTCAAGTCCAAAACCAGGGCATCAGGCAACGACAGTGCAGACACACACACAGAGTTCAACTCCCCAGCATCCTCCCTCATACTGGAGGGAGGTGAACAGCCATCTTGACTTGTATTGCTTTCAAGCCAGGCTTCTCCTGATGCCTTGGTTGGTCATTCTGCTGCAAAGCTGTCTTTGGCCTCTGGAATGGGGAAATAAATGGCCAGGGTGGTGAGCACAATCACTCCTGGGCAGCCCCTAGTTTTCCAGGGAAACAGCAGCATTAAAATGAGGGAGACTGGCTTGGCAGTTTACAGATACAATCCCTTCCACCTGCTCTGTCTTGAATGGCGTAATTAATATAGCCGCAGCGGATGTAACTGTGACACCTGCTTATCCATTTGTGCAGCCCAGTGATGCAGACAAGATTTGTGAGGGGGTGCATGTTAAATCACTGCCCTTCCTCACTTATTAAAAATCCAAGGGGGAACTGGCTAGGTTGAAGGAGTCAGTGCCTCACAAAAACGAGGCAGAGAGGAATGAAATGGAGCAAGAACGACTGGTCAGTCTTTCAGATACATAACTGGTGGTTCAGAGCTGCACAAGACCATCATCACATGTTTATACACCATTGGAGAAGGAGCTAATTGTCCTGAATCCTGTGCATAGGATGTTGCCTGCTTCCTTGTGAGCGAGGAACCCATGCACACACTGCCAGCGGACAGCAGAGCACGCAACCAAGCGGTCAAAGTGCAAATCCTGGTGGGGTGAGGTTGGAGTGGCCTCTGCCTGGTGATGTACCCAGCCATAAATCACCTCACACTGGGGATAGCTTGATAGCTTTTGCACTATAGCCAAAGCATACTGTACCATTACCCATTGGACACATGGCTGCGCATTGTACATCATCTCAATGGGGAATCTGCACTGATGAGGAACATGGAAAAACTGCCAAGTAAAACTGTCCTCCAGTGTCAAGTCACACTCCATCTCCTCAATGCAGAATCTCATGCAGTTTTATAGTGGGTCCAAGAGGCTGGAGGTGCAGCAGAAAAATGCCATTCTAGCTTCAGAACCCGCTTGAAGCCCAGGATCCCAGGGGATGCCTCCACCTGAAGGCGGCTGACATGAAAGGAGAAGTAGAGGGGAAGGAAGGCTGGGAAGGAAGCATCTGAGGAAAGGAGCCTGCAGACAGGCAGAGAGTAAAGCAAACCCTCCACCTGAAGCCCACGGAGCCCTGGGGCTTTCCTCCATACTTCCCACCAGCCCCACCACATTTGCTCAGTGGCCAAGAGCCAGCGTGGCAGTGGTTTGAGTGCTGGACTACAACTCTGGAGACCAGGGTTCGATTCCTGGCTTCCCTGGGTGGCCTTGGGGAAGTCACACACTCTCAGCCTCAGGGGAAGGCCATGGCAAACCTCCTTTGAACAATCTTGCCAAAAAAAACTCAGGATAGGTTCACCTTAGGGCCACCGTAAGTTGGAAATGCCTTGAAGGCACGCAACAATAACAAAGGGAGCTGCAATCGCAATCTTCTGGAGAGAGGCTAGGGAGACACACAGACAGGACCAGATTGCTGACTTATTCCTTGGAAACAATAGTTTGGGAATGTTACTTTTTGAGAAGTACAGCTGCACTGTCCAAAATGGAAACTTCTCAGGCAAAAGAGAATGCAGTCCAGCAGGGTTTTTTTTATTCTACCTGCAGTCTCAGGTGACTGACCACAAAGGAGCCCTTGTAACGTCATAATTTTTATTTCTTCTTCTCCTGTATGGTTTTTAACATCTTTGCCTGATGAACAAGAAGCCACTGGAGTTTTCAAAGGTTACATCGTGTACTTTGTGCATTTTGGTTAGCCCAATAAAGTTAACACAGTTTTGTGAATTAGAGATGTAATTGAACTTTGCTGTATGGCCAACATGGGAAAGAAACCCTGAATACGTTTTCTGGGTTTGACATACTGCCTTTTGGCCACAAGAGGGAGCCAAGGGACTGGGACTGACCTCTTGAGCCAGCCTAGGTTTGAGCATTGGACAATGACCAAGGTTCAAATCCCAGCTGACCCCTGTAAACCCACTAGGTGACCCTGGGCAAGTCACACTCTCTCCGCTCAAAAGGAAGGCAATGGCAGACCCCCTCTGAAGAATTGCTAAGAAAACCCCATGATAGGGTTGCTTAAGGCACACAAGAATAAAACCACCAACAAAGGTTAAACTTTTTTTTTAAAATTGAGCTTGCATTTGGCATGTTTTACCTAAACAGCATCTGAAAGTTTTCCAAATGCATTGGCACAGAGGCTTCTTGAGAAATTCCGTATTCTCTGCCTAAGAAGGGAACAGGAAGCCTTGCACAGGACAGAAAAAGCCTGGAATTCAAAGGATGTTTCCTTTCCTGTTGGCTAGTGGAGTTTACATTTTATTACCTGGACTTTATTTCCTGTGAGATTTCTTTGTCTCACAGAATCCACATGGCCAAAAGACAGTAGTGGCCTCTGCCTATATGGATATCCCTCCATACCACCCTGAGAATAATGTCTTGACTCTTGACATCATCATATATTATTTTATTTCTCCTGCATAATTTTAACACCTCAGCCTGATGAAGAAGCCAGTAGTTCTTTGAAAGCTTGCACCGTGTATTTTGTGCATTTTGGTTTGACCAGTATAGGCATCACTATTTTGTGGATTAGAGATGTTCCCATTTGAGTCTCATAAATGCCAGAGGATGAACCTTGGAGCTTGAGGCTCTGTGGGTCCTACTGAGCATCCCACACTACAGCCATCCGGACTCCTGGAGAGGCCAGATCAATATGTTACACGAAAGTGGCAGCCTTACATTAGCTCTTACACTACGTCCTGGAGAGAAGTGACCAGTGGGGTGTCCAGTGGGGTTCTGTCCTGGCCCCAGTGCTATTCAACATCTTTATCAATGACTTGGATGAAAGAATAGGAGGCATGCTTATCTAATTTGCAGATGACACCAAATTAGGAGGAGCTAATACCCCAGAGGATGCAACATTCAAAATGACCTCAGTAGATTAGAAAGCTGGACCAAATCTAACAAAATTAACGTCAACAGGGAGAAATGGAAGGTACTGCACTTAGACACAAAAAAATGGAAGGCTCAGATATAGAATGGGGGATATCTGGCCTGACAAGACTACATGTGAAAGGAATCTAGGAGTCCTAGTAGACCACAAGTTGGACATGAGTCAACAGTGTGATGCAGCACCTTAAAAAGCCAATACAATCCTAGGTTGTATCAAAAGAAGTATAGTAGACCAAGGGAAGTCATAGTACCATTGTATTCTGCTGTGGTCAGACCTCCCCTGGAATAATCCTGTGTCCATTTCTGGGGACCACAATTCAAGAAGGGTGTTGAGAAGCTGGAGAGTGTCCAGAAGAGGGTGACCAAAATGGTGAAGGGTCTTGAAACCATTAAACCCTCTAAGGAGAGACTGAAGGAGCTGGTAGGTTTAGTCTGGAAAAGAGAAGGTTAAGAGGGGATAGGATAGTCCTGTTTAAGTATTTGAAGGGATGTCATATTGATTAAGGAGGGAACAAGTTTGTTTTCTGCTGCCCCAGAGAATAGCACCCAATGGAGCCTCAATGGATGCAAGCTCCAGGAAAAGAGATTCCGCCTCAACATTAGGAGGAACTTCCTGACAGTGAGAGCTTTCGAAAGAAGAAAACACTGCTGCCTCGGAGAGTGATGGAGTCTCCTTCTTTGGAGGTCTTTAAACAGAGGCTGGATAACCATCTGTTGGGAATGCTTTGATTGAGAGTTCCTGCATGGCAGAATGGGGTTGGGCTGGATGGCCCTTGGGGTCTCTTCCATCTCTATGATTCTGTGATTATTCAGACATGTCAGTGGCACAAACGCCAGCTGTCCTGTGGCAGGATGAGTCCTCCTGAAGCCCTGGTACATTTTGGGCTTTCTGGAGGGCCCTGTGGGTCCTTTGCGTTGCATTGGAGCTCTTGTTTCTACAGCTGCCAGATCTGTGAAGTTGTGGCCTAGAAATCCTAAAGATGAAGCCCAGGATGGCAGCGGATGAGGTTGCTTGCTCAGAAAATCCTGCAAGCAGGGCTCTAGCCATTCTCCTCAAAATCTTGGCACAATGGAAGGGACCCTGGCACAGGCAGGCCTCACCTGAAACTGAACAACAAGAAATTGGAGCCTTCTGCCTCCAGGTGTTTTGGGCTACAACTCTCATGATCGCTTAGGACACAGTGGGCCAGGCGTATGGGAATTGTAGGGGCCAAACCGTCTAGAGGGCCTGACCTAAGGGCTGGGTGGAGAGCAGAGATATATGTATTATTTAAGAAGCAGCCAAAGGAAGACCCCAGGTCAAGAGGCATCCAGGTCCAGTGTGCACCATGTGCAAGCTGGACCTGGACACCTCTTGACCTGGGTCTTCCTCCATTTGCTCATTATGAGACTCGCCCCACAAAAAAAATCCCTTTCTAGCTACCTTTTATAGAAATCAGTGCTGGAAAGCTAACAATTCCTGAGCGCTTGTAAAAGGCATTAACCACCCCCAAACCATAATAAACCTATAACCTCCAGTCCAGCCCTTTGGGGTGGCAAGAACACCTGGTCAATTTTACTCAGATGAAAAGGACTTTTTCTTTGCCCACAGCAACCTAACTACACCCAGTTCTTGCGCCAGATCGTTTAATTGTGCCAAATGGTACCATTTTGAGCCCTACTGCAAGCATAGGGGGGTTATGAGGAGGCTTTGGGTGCGACCAACTAGATCTTTATTAAAATCGTGCTGGGTCAGAAACAGGTGCATAGGGCAGAGACCTCAGCATCATCGGCAGAAGAGCCTCCATCCTGGGCATGCGACAAACCAAGATCCCACTGCTACCAAACGTTCCCCCCCCCCATGATCGGTCCGTGTGGCAGGAGACCCCCTCTGTGCTCCAGGTGAGCGGCACCTGTATGGTCGGTCCCTCCTTCTGAGAAGAAGGTCATGGTTTCCCCTCCTCTGCCGGCCTGTGCCCCTTCCTGGCCCCGGGCATCGTATGGAAACAAGAGAGGGGGCAGCAAAACGACTTTCCTCAACCTCCACCCCATTGCTGTGCCCCATTCATTCAATTTGTAGCTTGCTTTTTAATCCACCGTGGGAATCTCGAGGCAGTTGCTCAATACAAGAACTGGTACAGAGAACTGCAGGGCAAACATCTGCAAGGAGAGGAAGCGGGGATATGGATCACACACACCCCCCAAATGGCCTGGGCCTTCGCACGGGGCACCAGGGGAGAATGGCACACCTGAGGCCTTCAGAGAATTTGGGGGTGCTCTATCTCCCCAAGGGAAGTGGGGAGAGGCAAGCCAGGGCTGCCAAAGGAAGGGGGTCACATTCTTCATTGGTCGGTCAGGAAGGAGGAAAAGGGCCACATTCTTCATCGGCCGGTGAGCCGTTGTCCAGGAGCACAGTTGCACTTTGCTTGCTTGGCTGTTGGCGCTCAGGTCACGCAGAGAAGCGTTGCACAAAAGCCAGGGTTGGCATCAGGAGCAGGAGGCAGAGGTTCCCAGGCCTGGCAGCTGGAACGGAAGAGGCATGGTCAGGGCACAGGGCGCTTCTGCCCCTCCTTTGAGCCCACATGGCTGCCCCTTTGCCAAGCAGGTGGGCAAAGTGCCAGATCCCCTGTTAAGCTCACCCACCGGCCTCTCCACTTTTCCTCCCACCATATCCGAAAAAGGATCTGGTGCTTTGTACATGGTGCCTCCCTCTTGAAACCATCTTTGAGGTGGTCCTGGCTGAGAGCGTGAGGGGCACAGGTCAATTCCATGGGGAAGTGGCCTTCACCCCCCAGAGAACCACTAAGCCCACCTCACTACGGCCGCTCAGCTGCTATGCCTGGTCTGGAGGAGGGTCTCTGGTGCCCAGAATGACCCCTGGTCCCCTCCTCCCCACCCCAGCCTCTCTTTGACCTTTTTCTTGCAATAGAGTCCAGTTGGATCTTCATTTTGGTGCCTCCCACAAAGGCCTCCCTGGACAACAACTGCGCTTCCCAGCCTGAGACTTTAGGAACAGGTCCCAGTCTGTTCTGTTTCTCAAACAGCACCAGCATAAACCCAGACTGCAGGCAAGTGGTTGCATCGGAGGATGTTGGTGCATTCACAGGGTGACCAGATGTCCTAGCCATAAAGGTGGACAAGGCACCATAAAATATAGGACATTCAAGAAAAATGGAGAGCATTCCAAAACAAAAGCCAGAAACACTCCTATAAACATCAATTCATACTTCTTTGTCATGCTCAAAATGGAGGACGTTTTGGAATTCCTCCTGGAGAGAAGGTTGAAATGTAGGATGTGTCCTGGAAAAGGAGGATATGTCTGGTCACCTTGTGCATTCACCCCT